AAAAACGAATGATCGGCTTGATCCGCCCTTGGCATGGATGGAAGAGGTTCCAATGAGCAACAATCCGTCACCACGATGTCTTAACTCAAAAAGGCTTAGATCAAGGTGAGATAAAATGTTTTTAGAGGACGATGAGTCAAAGAAGCTTTTGCGTACGTGAGCTTGTGTATGAAAATACAGAATGGATCTATTCATTTAACATCGAAATCAGAGAAAACTATATTTAATGCTTGAGGGTGCTGAGAAAAGCTACACTTAGTGCCCAGAAACAAACCAATCAACTGATTGTTTCAACATTTGATTAATAGTTCACGAGAATCGAAAAAATCCAGTCGATATGGACTCACAGATCCAGAAAACTGTACGAGGCTGTTTGGACGACAATACTTCAATAGATTGGTCTCCTACCGCACGCATTCACCGCAGAAAGTACGTAAAGCTGATAAAGAATACATCGTATCGCCATTATCCCTTAACATATAGTACCACAAGGGTTTCCAGATTTCGTACAAAACTGATGCAAGTTAATTGAACTCACCACAGCCTTTCAAAGAAACGATAAGGATTTCAACTCTTGCTAACGATCGGAGAGGTAATTTCACTACTTGGAACTTAAGCAGAAATCTTACCATGAGATTGTAGAATAATTCTAAGATAATTACGTCACATGCAGAAAAGAATATGTAGTATAAAACAATTTAACGATTTTTTGAAAATGAACAAATAAAAATACAACTGTTACACTTTCTAACATCTGTGCGTTCCAAAAATAATAGCTTAGCGCTGGCTTCTTCCAAAGCATCCTAAATGTCTCATTGAGTTAATGCCAGACTCATCCGGTGTGTACACGCATTCGCTCTTCCGTTCACATGGATCTTAGTAGCTGCTTTCTCTCCAAAATACATTCAAGGGGTCAGGTTCAGACTTTGAATACCCCGGGTTATTACTCTTTGTTTGTTAAAGCTCTCTTTTCGTACAGGAACGCTTCTCAGAGAATTATTTTATAACTGTACGAGGATAACAAGCACAATTCCGGTGTAACTGTACACAACATTCCACATGACCGTCTGAACGCAACTGTAACTCAGATGTTATTCTGTCACGCGTCCTCCAATGTGCAAGGGACAAGTATGAATATAGTGACTCTCGTGTTTTAGAATACAGTCAGCGACGTGCCGTTTTTTGGTAAAGTCGTTTTTCAACTGCTAGGTCATATAGCGACCACTGCAATTAACATTGGTTTTTGGAACGTTGGGGGTAACAGCAGCGGAACTCGCATACGTGTAAACAGACACACATATACATCTATGCCCCAGGCGAGATTCGAACGCGCGACTGTTCAGGCACGAGCCAGTTACGGCCCCTCAGCCTTAGCGACCTCGGCTATCCGGGCTACCTGAATGAATGGTAAAGAAGTGCAGTTTTGAGAGTCAATAATACAACTTGATCCAATTTAAATATTTACTAATTTTTTTATCAATTGAAAATTCATTGGATGAAAAGTATCTATAAAGTAATTCTTGAATATTTTTAGTTAGTTGTCATGAATTTCCGTGCTTCCGACGTCATGGAGAGTGTGTAATCCACGAGGAGGGAAATGCTCGAGGAGTGAAATACACAGCCTCCAATTTGCTTCGACATAATTGAAAATAAATTTTTATTAGTGAAACTCCAAAATGACTGTAGTGTACACAACTCGTATTGTTAAACGTGCTTTATACAGTGGTTCGTACAGTCTCCTACGAAACTATAATCCAATGTGTACAAAAAAAAAGTTTGCAATATTTTTTCTATAGCATCTGTCAAAACAGGAAAGAAGGAGAAAAGTTACCTAACATGACTCATATACCAAGAGCCTAAATCATTGTTTTAAAATTCTAGAAATTTGTAAATAAACATAATGTTAAGAAGTCCAGTCGCATTCATCTGAATGCAAAACTCTAAAAGCATATCTTTAAAAAACGAAAAATAAAGGAGCATTTGAGTTCGTATTAGAAGCAAACTTCGTAAGAACTATGTATTCTACGTTAGAAAACAGTTTTTTCTAGGCCGTTTCTCCAGCCGACAGCCGGTTACCCTTTACGTTCCGATGGGAAATTATTCGACTATTCGAACGACTATTCGACTATCGTAGCTATTAACACACACGCGGGCTCCTCTGATCTGGGGTCAGCAGAACGCGAGGCCCTACGCGACAGTACATACATGAGAGACAAGGGACAAACAATAATGCCCAAAGCGGGACTCGAACCCGGGCCGAAAGCTTCGGTAGATCCGCGCTTTTACCCACCTCGGCGATCCAGGTCGGCTAGAAAATACGTTATATGATAACTTTTTTTTTTCAAAAAATTATACTTCTACTATTCTATGAAATAAACTTCCATAAGTTGAAATACCATAACACAGTTTTCATTTTATTTCAAACCAGAATCAGACCACT